CTCTCAGAATTACAGGCAAAGTAATAAATGAGAGTTTATACAAGTAGCTGTTATTCTCAATTATTACACAAAAGATGATTTTCAGAGCCCCATATGAATGTGAGCCTTGGAGGTTTTGTCATCTTTCTACTTGATGTTTATTTCAGCATAAGTTTACTTCATTAGTAAAATTCTGCCCTCTGTCCTGGGGCACAGTCCCATAATTAAAAGTGCAAAATACTGCCCTGGCTGATTGCCCAGTGGTTAGAGCGTCGGCCTGAAGACCAAAGGATCGCATGTTTGATTCCCAGTCAGGGACACATACCTTGGTTGCAGGCTTGATCCCGGACCCGATTGGGGCGTGTGGGAGGCAACCAATCCATGTATCTCTCTCTCATTGATGTTTCTCCCCCCCCTTCTCTCTCTGCCTCCCTCTCTCACCCTCCCTCCCTCCTTTAACCTTCCACTCGTTTTGAAAATCAATGAGAAAAATATCCTTGGGTGAAGATTTTTTTAAAAAGTACAAAGTAGTAAATATTTCAAAATACACTGTATAGCAGCAACCACAGATTTTATGAAAAGTATATTAAACCACTACAGAATTTCTTTGCTATCTTACAGTCTTAAATAATGCACCTTAACATACTATGAATACATTTTTAAAAATCTCAAATATGTATATAATTGTCTAGATATAAAGTCAGCCCTGAAATATTTTAAGAACTGTATTAAGAGACTTGGGCTCTCGCTAGACATACTGCTCTTTGAGATAAAATGCTATGTGATTTCTTCATTCGTTTATTAAACATATATCCAAATGTAAATCATGAAAACATTAGAAATGAATTCCAAAAGCAAAATTGAAAAGTTAATATATTATAAACCAACTCTGTCCCAGTTAAACAGGTTGGAACACCAATGGTGATGTGAGGGGGTGGCCATCTCTCAGAACATAAAGGACTTTGTTTTTGTACACAAAAACATTGCTCAACCCACAGCTGGTGCCTGTAGCCAAATTCTACGCTCACTGGGACAACTCCCACTAAAATATATTGGCATAAAGAATATGGAAATGAATTTTTAAAAAGCCAGCTGTTTGTTCCCAGGGTATTAGATGTATGAGAGAAATCAGTCAGAATTGAGTCCATTTTTCTACTTCTATTTATTTTTAAAAAGGGAACAGGGAGTTTACAACAGGAAAGAATTTGAGTAGGTGTTAGGAGATCAGTTTTTTTTTCAACTCTCTGTATAATCTTATAAAATTCATTTGAATTCACTTTTTTTCCCTCTTGATACAGTTGTCTTCTCATCTCTCTAACTTCCCAAATCATAACTTGGAAAGTACATCTTAGTTCCTACCTTCTCTTGAAAGGCTTTACTTATTAGTTCAGCTTATTCCTGTTCCTTTCCCACTGTAAACTACTCTACTTAGAAACTTAGCACTGTTTTGTATTGGTTTTAGCAGCTTTGCATCCTTTATTGGTCTTGCATAAATTATACATTTCTTCACAAAAGCAGAAAAATACTGTTTTCACTCCAAAGTTTTTCGTCCTTTTGTAAGTCATCAATCCTATTCTTCACTTCTTTTTTATTAAAACAGATTTGACACAAAGAGATGGTAATATAATAGATATTGTAATTGATAATTATTCATTGAAGGGCTAATCCTCTGATGCTCTCAATTTCTACTACGCTAAAATAGATTGGTTTTCACCAAGAAGTTATTCATATAGCATGACCATCACATTGAAGTCAGGGTCTGATTATCAGAGTACAACCACAGGAAATTCCTATAGCCTGGCCGGTGTGGCTCAGCAGTTGAGCATCGACCCAGGAAACAAGAGGTCGCCGGTTTCCTTCGCAGGTCATGGGTTCAATCCCCAGTGGGGACCGTGCAGGAGGCAGCCAATTGATGATGTCCTCTCTCATAGATGCTTCTATCTCTCTATCTGTCTCCCTTCCTCTATCTCTAAAAACCAATAAAAATGTACTTAAAAAGAAATTCCTATAAAATGTCAAATAGTTCACTCCATAGCATTGAAGTTTCTTACAATACTCACTCTCTTTGCTCAGTATCTGAGATTTTGAAAAAGGCTGTGCCAGCATAATGAATAGGAATACATAATCTAAATCTAGATTGAAAATGTTTCCATCCCAACTCTTTTGCTTAACGGCTATTACCTTGTAAGCTAAACTAATTATCTAACTTACAATTCTTTTCCTGTGCAAGTGAGAATAATAACAATAGCGTTGAGCTGATATGGCTGCTCTGAGAAGTTAATTACTACTACATGCAAAGGGGTTGGGATAGTGCCTAGCACATGCTCAATTAATTTTACCTATTACTGTTTTTCTAAAATATAGAATACCCAATATTAAAAGTTTAATAGGTTTCCTTATGAAAATAGAAGAAAATATATCCATTAGAATAAATAATTTCTTCTTTAACCTACCAAAAAAACCCAAATACTTCAATTCCTACTCATAGCCAAGTCTGGTTGACTTAATCCTCCTCATTTGTGAATCACCAATTCTATTCCTTGCTTTTTTAAAAAAATAGATTCAACTTCTAGGAAGTTATAGAGCTGAATCCATGTGCTAGTCACAATATAAGTGGGTACACACACACACACTTCTCACAAAAATCCTTTATGTTGTATATATTAATCTTATTTTACAGATGAAAACACTGAGGCCCACAGAGGTCAAACATCTTAGTAAAGGTTATATAGTTAGTAAGTGGCTAAACCAAGAATGGATCAAAATCTATTAATTTCAGATTCCACTTCCTTCCTACTACACCTCACATATTTGCCTACAATTTCCTTTCTCCTTTAACTCACCTGTATATAATTAGTAGCATAACAGAACACAGAGAGGTGTTTCCTCATAGTTTACCATATGTTCTTGCCAAAGCACATAGTTCTGTAACTTCCCTTTCTGTTTCTCTAATCTCAGGTCAATTTAACTTCCTTTCTGGTAGTAAGAAATGTGGTGCTTCAAGATAGATTTAGAGCTCCCATGTCTGCCTTCTGAAAATTTCTTTTAAGTACAGGCTTAGAAGTAAACATTTTTCTATCTCTCCAGAAGTACTCAAAGCAAATGTGTTTGCAGAATCTTATTTTAACAACTAGAGGCCTGGTGCATGGATTTGTGCATGGTGGGGTCCCTCGACCTGGCTGTGGGGATCAGTCTGAAACCGGCTCTCCGACATCCCCTGAAGGGTCCCGGATTGCGAGAGGGCGGTTTTCAGTTGACGCACCCCAGAATCGGACTCCCTCCTCTCTAGTTCTGGGTGTGTCACCCAAGAACCACCACTGCAAGTGATCACAGTTCAGCAGCTCCTGCATTGAGCATCTGCCCCCTGGTGGTCAGTGCACATCATAGCTACTGACTGATCGGTTGCACACACACACACACACACACACACCCCATACAAACAGTGATAGTTAAACTCTTATAGGAAGGGAGGGTACCTGATCTTGCCCCCAATTGCCCTCCCCTGCCGATCTGATCACCTCTAATTGCCTCTGCTTCGGCCCCCATGAACATGGTTTTGTCTAGGAACTCGGACATCTGGAAGATGGCCGGTTGACCTGGTCTAATTAGCATATTGCCCTTTTATTAGTATAGATAGTAGTGAACAGGTCATTAGATATCAGAAGGAACAAATCTCATCTTTTAAAATGATAAGTAAAGGAAGCAATGGTGAGCAATTATTATGTTCTCAACCTCAATAGAGGAATTAACAGTTTTCTCATTATAAAAGCCATATGGTACGGTGATAAGGACAATGAACTTAGAAGACCTAACTTTGAATTCTTTCTCTGACACTTACAACTTTTGTGATTTAATAACATACATAAAAGGAGTTGCTGTGAGGATTGAAGCAAATAATTATATAACATAACTAGCATCCTAAATTTGTTATTGTTGAACTTGAAATCATAAACTTCTTAACCAAGTTCACTTCTATACTTTGAAGTACAATATGATACAATATTGTACAATAGTACACTATGATTTATAAAGCATACAAAATATCTACTGCTAAGTATAAAGAACCTTTTCTGCTCCAGAGCTAAAAGCTCTTTAAAAATATTCCCTCATTAAGCTAACAATATTCCTTTCAAATGAAAACAAACCAGAATTTATTAAGTGATGTGTACTAGGAATTTTATATACATTCTACTCATTTGGCCCTCACAACAACCTTGAGAACAAACTCAGACTTGGAGAAATGAAATAACTTGCCAAAAACACACAGCTCCTAAGTGGCAGCAGATCTTGGATCCATACCCAGGTTAGATTGATTCTAAAGCTTGTGCCCTTTTCTTTACATAACACCACCTCTTTGACTTTCTGACATGGGTCCACGAAAAGCCACAAGTCTCATACAAAGTCAAAGAATAATTATTTTCAGTGTAGATTAAGTCACCTCCAAATAACAGACTATTTTAAAGGTAATTTTCAGACAATTCCTGCTTAATCTAGTTTTGGTCCCCAAAAATGTGCTGGTACATAAAGTGAACTCAGCCTTTTTCCTACTAGCTAAAGAAATTAATATATTATCAAGTTTAAGCCTTAGATGTGCAAAGACACTGTTCTAGAATTTTGTTAAGAGAAAAAAATAAATCAAAGAATACATTTCCTGAATCTCTAATGGTATGTTAATAAACAGAATTGTTTCCACTGGAAATGCCTGAACTTACTGCTTCCATAAAGCAGATTGCTTTCTCAATTATTTTTTCCCCCATGAAATTTAGAGAAACCATCACAAAGCAAAATTGGTGACTCAGATGCTTCTGAAGAACTAAATCTGTCAATTAGAAGCTTTGTAATCTTGACATTAAATATAACATAATATTTATAAAATGAGGTGATAAAAGTCTGTGAAATATTTTGTAAGTCTATGGCCACTCTCCCTCTTCTTTTAAACCAGTCTGGTCCTTGAGAGCAGGAGCATTATTATTATTATTAATCAAATAAAATTAACTTTGCTTCTATCTTCTGCTGCTTACCTGTTGCAGAGTATGCTGAGGGCTCCATGTGGGCTACATTCACATGGCAGACAGAGCCCAGAAGTGTGATTCAGGTAAAAGCCCTCCTTGCAGGTTTCACAGTGAACCCCCTGATACCCTGGCAGACACTCACACTGCCCTGTGGTCTGGTTGCAGCGATTCACATCCAGGCTTCCAACCACAGAGCAGTTACATACATATTCTGCAAAGGAGAGAAGGAAAGAGACATTATTAACTAAGATTTAATGCTTTCTTAATAAAATGAACTCTGTTTTTCTTAATGTTCATAACAACTTTGTATGGATAGATAAAACTAATTCTAGTTCAAATCCACTTTTTATTCTACTTAGTTCATTTAAATTGGGAAATATATACAGTAAAGTACATGAAACTATGTATCATTCATATTTATAAAACTGACATTTCAATTTCCTTTCCACTACTCTTCATCTTCTAGCTCTTTGACCTTACAATTCAATGTGTGTGGGTCTGTATATTATTAGTTTTTCTGGATTGTAAATCGCCAAAGGCAGGGCCTAAGCTTATCCACCAGGCACATGTTGGAAATAACAACATATTAAATAATACATAATCCCATTGTATAGCTGAAAAAGCCTAAGGCTCAAATCGTTAACTATAGTAACTTACATAGATCAGACAAGATTGTGCTACAGCTGGAATCATAAGTTAATATGTTCTTCCCAGGAAGAAATTAACAGAGAATTGAAACTTTAAGTTGAGAAAATGATAAGATAAATCCCAGATGAGAAAGTTTATGGGGTCATCTTGATCGGTGGGTTAAAACCAATCACAATTTGAATCTCTTTCTCAAGTTAAAAGATTTAGAAAATAAACATTTTCTTTAGATACATTTCAAACAGTTCTTTAGATGAAATTATTTAAAAGTCCTTGGTGTTAGCCTTTTAATTCAGATACATTTAAGGTCAGTTAGGATTTGGTTTGTGCTATTATTTATACTCATTTTATCAGGAAGAAAGCATTTTCAGCATAGTTTGACACAATATTAACATGGGACTTTGCAAACATGCAAAAACTTATAGTTAAAATAAACTGCAGATAAAACTTTGTACATATTTTAGGAATAGCCCCCATTCCAAAACAGCTATGAACCTAGGTTTTAAAAGCCCAGAGAAATCTATGATACAAATTATATTTCTGAATAGATAAGGTACTATATAAAATGGCTTTATTCTGACAAAAGTTTAGCTCAAAAAAATCTTTAATGTAATTTTTGATGATTTCTTAAAAGTTACTAGATAACTGAAAATCCAGAGTTTTAAATAGAAAGTTACAAAGGAGTTTATTTCTCTATTCTAGAAAAGGAAATTAACCTTCAAAATTATTTATGTCATCAGAAGCAGTTTATTCACACAAGTCAAAACAAAGGATTCCACACATATATTCCCACGTGGCCAACTCCATACCTCCCACATTTCTTCAGTTCCTAACCTTTAGTGTTAGCTTATCTCTCTTTTCTTTCCACCTCTTCTAATTTGTAAATTTACCAAATAAATAAATATATATGGGTGATTATTTTATGTATATGTCAAGCTTGAGTAGTGAGTTAGTTACAAACCTAGAGTTAAGTTCAGATTTCTTCAGCCCCAAACTTCAGAAAGGAATCAGCCTCATATCTCAATCAATATTCTTATTTTTATTAGCTATATAAGCATGACATTTCTTTGACAGTTACATTTTCACATTATTTCTACTGTGTGTGTGTGTGTGTGTGTGTAGTTTTTGTAAATAAGGAAGCCATGTTTAGTGGTCTGTAAACCTGCCAATGACAACTTCATGGCAAGACCTTCACTCCACCAAAAATGACTAGAATACTTAAAATAACACTTTTCTTCCAAAATATGGCAGAAGTTCAACATGCATCCAAATTCCTCCAGCTGAACCAATTTCACCACAAGTTACCTAACCAAATTATACTAGTAGGGGCAAAACTAGCTTTAAAAAAAAAGTTTGTTTAACTCTATAATAAAGACTGAGAATTTTGCTCTGGCCAGTGTGGCTCAGTTGGTTGGAGTGTCATCCCATGGACCAAAGGGTTGCAGGTTCGATTCCCAATCAGGACACATACCCAGATTTCAGGTTCAATCCCTGGTCAGAGCACATACAGGAGGCAACTGATTGAAGTTTCTCTTTCATATCTATCTCTCTCTCTCTCTCTCTCTCTCTCTCTCTCCCTCTCTCTCTCTCCTCCTTCCTTCCCCCTTCCTTTTTGTCTAAAATCAATAAAAACACATCCTCGGGTGAGGATCTAAAAAAAAAAAATGAAAATTTTATCCTATTATTTCCTTACTAATGTACGTTCATCTGAAACCTGAATCAGTATTCCCAATGAATAATTAGTAGTATTTTTTTTAAAGAACTCAATTAATCTAAGAACTCTGAGACAAAACTAAGGTTTTTCTTCAGTAAAGTCTTAATGGATAAATCTTCAATATTAACCAAGTTCATTAGCTATTTCTAAGGAGCTAATTCAAACTCTTCATTATCCCCTGAACATATTCTTTCTAGTCCCATCTTTGAACCTTTGTTCATTCTGTTCCTCTTGAAATGCTCTTTCCTCTCCACATATGGAAACCTATTTCAAGAATCAGCTGAAATTTACTCCTCCATACACTCAAACTCCATTGTTTTTATTGTGAATCCATAACATCTACCACTTACAACTCTCATATGACAATAAAGTGAAGGAGTTTTGAGCACAGTCTGTAGAGGCAGACAGCTGCAGGTTAAATCTAGTTCTCTCACTAATTTTATGACCTTAAGCAAGTTAGCTAACCTTGTGCCTTTCTTTTCTCTTATGTAAAAAGGGCATAATATAGTACCTATAACACTTAGCCCCAACATCTAAGCTGGAAGTAATTTGGAATTCTGCAATAATTAATACAATTGCTGGTAGAAACGAATACCTAATAAAATAAACACAAATCAGACGTCAGGTTCATAGGTCACACAGCTTTGTTGGACCCTGTGGACAAGATCTGAAAGCCCAGTTTTTAAACTGTTTGAAAACAGAAATATAAAGGCCCAAAGAAAAGACAATACACTCATGTTTTTATCTGAGAACTTAAACTTATGGGATAATTTTGATATAAAGGTATTCAAAGTAATTATTGCATTTAAATTTAAAGTTGTGGGCCATCTATAAGTAGAGAATAAAATGGTATCCCACATACACCTGGCTCTATACATTACTAATATGGGTTCCTATAAATACAATGACAAAAACAGAAAGGTTTAGGACGTGGTTTCAGACAGAATGAAAAAGAGCATTTATTCCTAACAGTAGTAAGTGAATGACCACCTGAGTGCCAGGAAGAGAGCCGATGTATCAAGACAAAAACACACTATCATGTTAACATTCTTCTCCAAATTAACCAAAGGAAAGGAAGCTGAAGCAAAGCCCAGGAAGATGTGCATCTTTCCTGTTTGGAGCTTAGAATCCAAGGCCCTATCCCAGGGATTGACTTCAAATGAAATGATTCAAGTTAAATAAATAGCCTAAGCAACAGTAATAAATGTAAAGTACCATGAACATCCATTTCATGTATCAGGAAAACTTGCTAACTTGTAAGTAGAATAGTATCTCAGAGCCTTCACAGTTCTTAATATTCATATGGAACCAGATAGGAGTTAATTCAGAAACAATGCAATTTACTAGGAGGTTGGCAAAATGAAAAGAAATAAAATTTCAATTGATAGAAGCAGTGGGAGGACCTATAGCCAAAGAAAAGAGATGAAGCGCTGATTTTTTTTACAATATATTTTTTATTGATTTCAGAGAGGAAGGGAGAGAGATAAAGAGATAGAAACATCAATGATGAGAATCATTGATTGGCTGCCTCCTGCACGCCCCCCACTGGGGGCGGGGGGGGGGGGTGGGGATCGAGCCCACACCCCAGGCAGGTGCCCTTGTCCAGAATCGAACCTGGGTCCACAGGCCAACGTTCTATCCACTGAGCCAAACCAGCCAGGGCGAAGTGCTTTTTTTTAAATGAAGTAGAATCATAGACACCAGAGCAGCACAAAGGAGTCTGTAACATGACTAATGAATGATAATGAGAATGAAACTATATGAAGAGGACAGAAAAAAGTAATCACAGACAAGTCTGAATAAAATGCCAAAAGCTCATTTGGTTTCCTAAGAGCAAATATGTAATAAACTCTCTGTCATTTCAGTAGCAGTTTTCCTTTCAATGTTCTATAATTCTTAGGAAAACTATAGAGAAGAATGTTAATGTGTAGAAAGCAAATATTAGCAGAGAGACTGCAACCTTTGGCAACGTTTTTTCTTTTTGTTTGGCTTCTGAAGAGCAATGAAACACAGTGATTTGAACCCTGAAGAAGAATAAGAAAATAAAATTTGGTGCCAAACTGTTTGAAAATAGACATATAAAGACCCAAAGAAAAGACAATAAATTTGTGTTTTTTTTCTGAGAACTCGAATTTATGGGATGTTTTTTCTGTAAAAGTATCCAAAGTAATCCTTGCATTTAAATCACACTCTGTACTTTTTCAAATATTCCCTACCAAGGACCAAGAGATGAAAATTTTAAGCACCTAAAAAATATAATAGAGTAATTTTGTTTAGAAGTCCCACAAGCCCCCCAACTTACCCCATGCACAAACACCTGTTCTTGTAAGATATTATCTCCTTGAACATACTAAAGACCTCTTCTGGACCTTTCATACACCTGGCAGGCTTCTCTCTGTGTCAGACTTAAACCACCTTATGTCCCTGCTCAGTAAAAAGTCCATTATATCTTCTAGAAAATTTTAATTGTTTTTTTAAAAATATATTTTATTGATTTTTTACAGAGAGGAAGGGAGAGAGATAGAGAGTGAGAAACATCGATCAGCTGCCTCCTGCACACTCCCCACCGGGGATGTGTCCGCAACCAAGGCACATGCCCTTGACTGGAATGGAACCTGGGACCCCTCAGTCCACAGGCCGACGCTCTATCCACTGAGCCAAACTGGTTACGGCTTTAATTGTGTTTTTGTACCTGCAGTTACTTTGATGAGAATAAGCTGATGTTAGAAAAATTTTAATTGTGATAGTATGTTCTAATTAATGTGTCCTTGGTCTTCCTGTACCTCTTTCTGGAGTCCTTTCTGGGAGATGTAATGAACTATGATGTCTGGAGACTCAAGCAGTTTGGTACAATACTGTGTTTAATCTTTTACAGATAAGAACAA